GTCATCATTATAATAACTCTCTTGGGATACATTTTTATCTAAGATGAGGATAAATGTAACTGAAGTTGTAAGAGAACTGCAGCATAAAATATATATACTATTGTAATGTTGGATAAAAAGTTATAGATTATATAAATAAATATATAAAAAAATAAATAAATGAACAAATAAATAAATAATGAAGTACAAATATATACATATAAATATATTCTAAAATTTATTCTTCATGAGCTTTGATGTATTGCTGAGGAAAAAGGGAACAAATGAAAACAAAAAAAGGGAACACTAATCAAAAGAAGAAAAAAAAAATGAGAAATTTTAAACTTTGATACGTATTTTTTAGTGTTTATAATAAGACAATTATATCTCAGAAGTGTAATGAAAAACTTCTTTAATCGGTTTATTTTGTAGAATTAACAGTTTGAAGTGAAGGGACACTTTTGTTTTTTTTTCCTCTCTTTATTCAAATAGTTTATTTCAACTTTTAATGGATGGATGTAACAGTTTTACAAATGGAATAGGCTTAAAGAGTTGAAAAAAAAAAAGTTTTTATTATAATTACAAATTGTACAAATAAACAGTTTTTAGCAGTACTAAAAACTAATACAACAGTAATATCACCGGAAAGAGTGTTATCAATTTTGTTCAAAGCATTACTTTTTTTTTTTAGTTACTTTGTTATTTTTGATGTTTTTTTTTACTGCCGTTGCAGCAGTATCAGTTTACAGCAAAAATTTTAGTATGTTGTGTTTTTTTTTTTTTCTGAATTTTCAGAAGACTACAAATGATTTATAAATTTGTGAAAAGAAAGGGTTGCTTTTTTTTTTGCTTTGCTTTTACTATGGTAAAAAAAGTTTTAACTGTTGATACATTGAAATAAATAGATATATGCATATAAAATCGTATTTGCATTGATATAATTATGAATAAATGAATAAATTTTTGCAAGATTATCACTGTGATAATAAGTATTAATTTCTAAGACAACTGCCTACTAATTTTGCTATTTAATAGGTGGATGCAGCATTACATAGGTTAGATCCGCTTCCTTGGTGTCGATTTGGTAGAGTAACATTAAATAATACAACTGTATCTTGTTGTAATCCTTATCACTATGCTTTATGGATTGTTGGTAGGTGTTTACTATTGGCAAATATCATTTATCACTGATTCTTTAAACATTTTTTTTTTTTTTTTTTTTTAAA